GGTTGTTGGGAGTGCAGAAAAAAGCGGCCACCCATAGCCACGCCGGGTATGCGAGCTATAAGATCCAGTTCGGTTTCCCGTCCCCCCGCCCATAGAGCTAAAGGTTGTCGGTACCGCCTATCGCGAATCCCCCCGCCCATAGAGCCGCAGGTTGTTGCACAATGCCATGGTATATTGAACCTAAGGCAATAGTTCATGGACTTGTGCACCGTAGTGAAACCAAACCCCGAAGGGAGAGGAGCGCCCTTGTGCGGAGCGAAACACGACCGAGACACGACCTTGACCGGTAACCTGCTTGCAAAGGAACGCGGAGAGTGATACTCCGCGTTCCCCAGAGTTAGTAACTTGAATGCAGAATGGCGAAAAGTATGGCAAAGCATTACCTTGAGTGAAGACCTCGTGCTTATCTGAATGGAAGTGCTTCAGTACCGGTTTCGGCTGACTTGTGAACGAGAAAGACCGAAGATACTTCCCACTGACACATGTCGAAGTGGTTGTAGTCTTGAAATGTCGCGGAAAGTGATGGATGGATGGATGGATGCGGTGAGAGGATGGATGGCAGGCTGGATGGATGAAAAAGTGGATGGAATATCCGATTAGTGTCTTGTATGGATGGATGACGTTGAAAAGTATCCATAATGGCGGCTTACCTCAGAAATACTTGAGCAGGTATGTGAGAGTGAGCAGACGAGATAGTGTGTGTTTCGCGAAGGTGAGTAGGCGTTGATAGATAAAACTTGAAAAAAAGTGTGTGTTGAGCGTGTGTTGAGCGTTGGTGGAAATGAGGTGTGCGAGTGAAGAAAGAAGTGTGAGGGGACAAGAAGAGTGGGAGGGAGTATTGATTCGTGCATTCCCTATTGATGTGATTTGCAGATCTCGACTTCGGTTTAGCTATCTGGCTATATTATGTAAGTCGGCCTGTTAGCTAGTCAGCCTCACAAGCCTTTGGATGCAATCTTACAAGCCAGTGGATGGAATGGATCGAGTGCATGACTAAGCTGGACCCAAAGCTGGTTGGACCCTGACTTTATGATAAGGTGGAAAACAAAAATGAACCTCAATGCTTGACAACAGTGTGAATGGGGCATGAGTTAGAACAACGTATCTCACTATGCTCGCAATGGACGGAAATGATATCTCATTCGTAATGGCGAAAAGCTCTATTCAAATCCTTCTTCGCGGTTGCACCGAACATGTCTCACGCTCCGACGCATAGCATTTCTGGCTTCGAGAATCTTTTTGGAGGGAATGTTTGGCCAATGATGTTCCGTGCCGTTTCAAATCTATTATCCTTGAGAGAACATATGATAACCTTGAAGGGAGGAGGAGGTCTACGGCTGGCCATCATTGCGGCGGCACGTGCCTACGATACGAATCCGGTTGCAGGTTGGGCCAGATGTTGATGTTGGAGTACTCCGTAAAAGTTGGAAAGTAGCCTTCGGGAGAACAATCGCTCAACTGCATGACGTGCATCTGCAATGTACCTCCTCCCATATTTGTTATATATGCCAGTTGGAAAGGATTGAGCATACTTCAGCGGCGCACAACGAAACCGTCGACTACGAAAATGAACCGTCAAGTGAATCTTCTTCTGATTTATCACAAATATGATTGATTATTTTGTCGAACAAAGGTACTAGGCTTGTGGTATTACTATGTGGTGACTGCTTGATGAAGACAGTGAGTACGTGCTCAGGGGCAAAACAATTTTCGCAGCTAGTCCGAAGAAGAAACTGTTCGTGCTTTCGTGTACCATACAGTTGCCTCCCAGCAGTAGTAGTTTCGTCTCTGCCCATATTTCCCGTCGATTCTGGCTACTCAATTTCGCACCCTACTGTCGCGTGTGTTGTTCTCAGATCCTCCGGCTTGTCAAAGACCACGTACCTAGGAGGATAGTAGAGTGTGGAAAGACACCGGACGAGGGCAGAACGTTTGCGTGTAGCGCTCCGTTCAACCATTCGAAACGGAGCTTGCCGTTCGTACTGAGACTTTTGGAGCGAAGAGAGAAAGACAAGAAGAAGTCATGCTACATATAGAGACTGCGCAAGACTTTGGAAGTGGTGAGAAGTGGTAGAAGCCCCTTTTCTCTCTGGTTCACCGAGGGTGAAAAGGCGAGCTTCGTGGCACAGTTTTTCCCCAATGCAGCCGCAAATGAAGCATGATGAGTACCGATGATGGCGCGACTCGATTCCTGCCCAATGCTCCCTGAAACAAACGCGCAGTACGCGTTGTACCAGTGGTTTGTCTCGATCCCCAGATTTGGGTTCACATCTGAAAAAACGGCAAGCGTGGCCCATGTGTCAGATGGTGCTCGACCTGGATAGGAACATGAAGTGGGTAACAGGACGCCAAATAACTGAAATGACATCATGCGCAAAGCATTCGATGCAACAGGGAATGCGGAATGGTGTGCCCAACCCAAATTTGATGTGTCGATGGATCTGGATCGAAACTGAGTCTCCCACAGTATAGACAGTGGCAGTGAGCATTGTGAGTCACCGCAGGATAGTGCAGGCCTGCTTCTGAAGCTTTGGGCGAAGGTCGAATGAATTGGATGGACCGCCCATTAGTCGGAAATGCCGGTTCCTGTCGTGTCCTTGACCTGAGTAGAGGAATTTGGGACTTTTGGGAACATATATCATCATATTCGCCCATTCCTCACATTGTCACACCAGCTTTCCCACGGATATAATCCAACCTCAGCGCTTCCTAGTATAGATTTAATACGCTCGCTCACAAAAGCTCAACGCTCCCTCTCATCCAGACAAACAATGCTTGTAGAGTTCCGCTGGACGGAGGCGGCACCGGGTCGTGTATTTTTGAAGGGATCTTTCGATAATTGGACGAGGGGCGTTGAGATGCGACGAAGTGATGATGGGAATATGACTGTTTCTCTTGACTTGACCGTTGGGGAAAGGGTTGAATTCAAGTACTGTGAGGATGAACCCATCACTAATATTGACCTCACATCTTTAGAATGTTGTAATAACAATCAACGGCGGTGGACCGACCGTATCCCACCTCTCAGAACCGGCCTTCAAATCCCTCCTGTCGGTCCCCTGTCTATTCTCAATCCACTTGAATAACCTACACGTGGTCGACCCCGACTCCGAAGAGAAGTACCTTCCCTCTATTCGGCCCGCCGAAGTTCATATTTTGAACTCTTACATGAATTTCACAAGACTAAACCAAGTTGTGTAGCCCGGCATCGGCCGCCTGCGCGTGGTGGACATCCGAACTGATACCGAGCCCGCTAAATGGCTTCAAATGCTCGCTGCATCGGGAACGGAGAAAACGGAAAATGTTGCGATTACTGCTGTTTCGCAGATTGTGATTCAAGGTGAACGCGCGGAAGGGGCCGAGAAAGTAAGAAACAAAGTTGCTGTCTAGTGAAGGAACATCCATTTACATCTACCTGCAGCTTGTGCGAGCAGTAAAGATTTTGCTATGCGAATCCCACTGCCGTCTCGGAGTCCTAAAAATCCTCTCAGACGCTTTCTCCGACCGTGATTTCCTTAAACGCGCGGTTCGCTGTCCATCTTTACGCGAATTACACGTGGTTTTCAAGACCAATTTCGATGTGACATGGATAAAGTACGTACAAGTTCATGGCACTCCATCCCTTTGCGTGACAAGCACGAACTCATCAACTACCTCCAAGACAAAACCCCAGACACCCGCCTCCACCTCATAACCTTTCTCCTGATCCCCAACCGCCCGGACCACCCAACGAAGAAACCCCATCCAAAAAACCCCGCGCGGAATCCCAGCCACCGTCGACCTCTGCCCCTGCACAGGAAAAGATAACCTACCCTCCAGACGTCGGAGATAAAGTAGTAGCTCTCTTCAACACGGTGCACGTCATGGTCGAATTTGAGGAATTGGTATTGGTGCAGAATCCCCGGCTGGACGTCAGAGTTGACGGGATGCCGGAGGTGGGGGAGGGTTTGTGATAGGTGTGGAAGGAGTGTAACGAGGTTGTTGTGTCTTTGGCTGGAAGCAGGCTGGGACTATCTGTAGTTATGATTGCTCAATATTGTGGATCCCAGTGTAAGCAGGGCATATGTATGTACAACTTTGTACTTTGTTGTTGATCCAACGCTGAATGTTTGTTTCATATACGAATTGTGTTTTTTCTTTCCTTTGAGACCATGGGTGCGCTGCAACGGGTTGGAATATTGCGTGTTTCAATGACACCAAACTCAACAACAACAAACAAGACACCAATACGCGAAACGACACATGTAAAAGAAGTGCAAACCATAAGAGGCGAGTACAAAGTCACAATTTTGTTTATATATTGTTGGCACGGAGCGAGAGACATCACAACTACAAGACGATCAAGTAATATTACTACCCCAGACTGGATTTGAACCAGTATCAACTGCCGAAGCAGTGCTTTACCATTAAGCTACTGGGGCAGGGCCAGGCCAAACCTTCGTCGCACCGCCCATGAAGACTGCATGCTGCGGAAGAAGAAGAAAAGAGGACCTCGTCACACCGCCCAAGGAGACTGCATGTTGCGGAGGCCACCCACGTCGCACCGCCCTAGAAGACCGCATGCTGCAGAGGTAACAAAAACCCCTCGTCGCCCCGCCCTAGAAGACTGCAGGCTGCAGAGGGAGTCCCGGTCTTGAACCTAAGGCAAGAGCAGGTGGGACTATCACACCGACTACTACCAGCTGGAAAGCCGCAGGGAGCCATCGGAAACCGTCGCACCGCCCTAGAAGACCGCAGGTTGCAGGAACTTTTGAAAGGAACCCGTCGCACCGCCCGAGAAGACTGCATGCTGCAGGACCCTTGAATGACGACCGTCGCCCCGCCCTAGAAGACCGCAGGCTGCAGGAAGTCGTGACGCCCGTCGCACCGCCCGAGAAGACCGCATGCTGCAGAGATGCCAATTGTCGCAGCGGTAGTGAGATCCAAGCCAGTGAAGGCCACGCCGCCGTGCCAGCGAACCCGTCGCCCCGCCCTAGAAGACTGCGAGCTGCAGGGTGGAGAGATCCCCACTGGACTTGAACCAGTATCTCCCATCAGAAGACAGGTGCTCTACCTTGAGCTAAGGTATCTTGTAGCAGCACAGCTAGACCGACCGAAGTGGAAGCACGGCAAGAAGCGTATCGTGGAATGCTCTTGCCGATAACCAACAGCCGAGCGTCTTGCTGGTCAAGCACCTTGACCAGAGACCGAAGAAACGAAGATAGCGCATAGAAGACGACATATGCCGCTTGACTACCGTCCACATATATGGCAGAGTTTGTCAGCAAAAGAATATTGATGGGAAGATTCGATGGTGGTAGGGATACCTATTTAACCGTTTGTATCACAATACGACCGTGTGGGAGACGTACATAGAAGGGTAACAAGAAGAAGTTAGCAGACTTGATCGTGCGGAGCGATCCATAGTTAGAGAGATGGCTCACCTGAATGATAACTGACCCAGTATCGTGTACCCTGTAAAGGAGAAACATCCATTAATAAAGAGTTACTGCTTTCCAACTTCCGTAGTGAACAATAGTAAGCACAATGGCCGCGTTGCCCGTCCAAAAAGGCACGGCGTTCGTTTAACAAGTGGGACGCAGTATATACAGTCGGAGCCCACTCGTCACTGACGTTACACTGACACTGCTTGCTTCTATTCTCTCCATACAGTGATATCCAGAGCGATTGAGCAATAGAAACTTATCTGAAAAGTAGAAGTCGAGTTCAAGTCTGTTGAACTGATCGAGGGGAAACTTTGAGCGTCGATAGTTGGATGGTGCGTGGTTGATCTTGCCGCACCTTGATGTCGACGAACGCAGAGGACCATGCGGGTAGCGAGGTGGATAGTCTAGACGATATTGACGGCGACAGGTGAAGAGGGGGAATGTGAAGAGAGTTGTGTTGTGGGTGAGGGTTGTGAAGGAAAGAGACGAACTGGTTAGTGGTTACGGCCACAACTTTGATTCCTGTAATGTGGCTTGTCCAATTACGTAATCAATGGTCTGTGCCACTAACACTGCCGGTGAAGGTGGGAAATCATGTTGGTATGATGGAAAAAGCTTAGATGCAATTTTAATTGAGTTTGTTAGCGGTTAATCACTAGAAAGTGCAGGTTCAACATCAGGTATGTTTGGTGCTCTTTGTTCTTTCCTCATGTGGAAGTCAGAGTACCAGAACACCAGTGCGATCTGCACATTGGCGCCCTTATGGATGCATGAAAAAGTGCTCGTGAAGTTCGCACATTTGTAGCATCGTTGCCGCAGCTCTTTGACTGATTCCGATTTGACAAGTCCTTCATCGTGCAGCTTAACTCTTAAGTATCCAGCATCAATGCACGGAAACTGACAAGCAACAATTCCTGCCCCACGTCCAGGGTGGGCTTGAACATCGCAAGGAATCGAGTGCCATTGAGGGAATGGAATGCGCGCAACTTATTGTCATGACAATTCCCAAGTTGTCATTTACAAATAGGTACAGATGAACAGCACTATTTACAGAACCGCAAACCAATCATCATGTCCCGCCGGCACAACCTCCCGCACTACTTCCGAAACCTCCTTGTCTCGTTCCAACCCCCGTGCGAACTCGAGTGTGTGTTTCAACCCCTCCGGATCCTCCCAGCACTTCCCCTTCTCTAAAACCATTCTCAACACTCTCCGCTCCCCTCTCAAAATAGCCTCCTCGACCGCCGTGTGTGCTCCCTCCTCCTTCAACGGTGCAGACGGCTTGACATACATTTTCGATCCCTGCTCCAAAAGGTACTCCACAACTCCAAGGTATCCAGCCCTAACAGTATGACGAAGAAGCAACTGCTCCCTAAACTGAAGATCCGCCCCATGAGCAGCTAACAACTGCACAACACCAAGATACCCAGTCATTGCCGCACCGTAAGCCGCCCAGCTCAAGACAACAGGATCGAATGTTGCATGAAACAGAAGGACACTAACCGTGGCGGTGTGACCTGCCAATGCAGCATGCTTGATCGATTGATCCTCACAAACATGCGCGTCGCATCCCTTTTTGAGCAAGTATTCCACAAAGCTTGTCGCCCCACGTTCCGCCGCAACCCTCAGGGGCCAAGAGTCCTCCAAAAAAGCATCCGCTCCATTCATCACAAGACACTCTACAACACCTATCGACCCCGTCCTACAAGCCTCCCTCAACCCCGGTCCAGGATCCGCCCCATGCTGCACCAAGGTTTCCACCATATCCAACCCCCTCGCCACCGCCAATGGATACACACCCTGATATGCTCGATTCGGATCCGCCCCACACTCCAGCAACTCCTTCACAATGCCAGCGTTCCCAGTGTAACATGCCTGATACAGCATCGCCCCGTCGCGTCCATTTGCATCCAGACCATGCTCCCGAAGAAGATTCCGGACTACTTCCTCACTCCCAGCACGGATCGCGGTCCACAGGAGTTGGTCACCATCGAAACGAAGGTCGGCACTGTGAAGGGCGAGTAGCCTCAAGGTGGCTGCGGTATTTTGTTTCGCAGCTACTTTGAGAGCTTGGTGGTTATTGGCTGTCATGTCGGCTCCTTCCTTAATCAAATAGGATATGATACTGTGACGTTGACATGCAACGGCATGTACTAATGGGGTGGTTACAAGTTCGTAGCTCTTATGTGACCGGTAACCAGAAACGTCTGCGTTAGCGTTTGGAGATGCACCGTAATGGATGAGGAGTTTGACGGTGGGAAGTTGACCGAGACGGGCGGCCATGCAGAGGGCATAGGAAGAATCGTGAGTGGAGGAAGCGTTGTGGCTCAGGGCAAATTGGACGGATGGGAGGTCTAAGAGCTTGAAGTACAGCAGTTTGATGTTGTTAGCTCATGCAAGGCTAGTATGTTGATGAGCCAATGCACCAACCTTCACTGAAGCAGTAAGGAACTCATCAATGCTCCAAGACGTCCATTGCCTAGGATTGCGCGCTTTCCAACCCATGATTAGCCGCATGATCTTGCCCACGACACGTACAAGAGCTTTCTTCTCTGTGAGGTCATGGATAGTCTTATCTAGCTTGACCATATAGGCGTAGGGGGGTTTCTTTTCCAAGAAATGTCTGGCATATGGGTATGCCAGGTCATCTTGTGAGATCCCATGGTATGCGTACCGGCAGGAGCTACGGAGGGCGAGAGCTGTCTGAATGGAGAGGAAGGTGACGAGGTGGGGGAGGCAGTCGTGAGGGAATGCAAAAGAATGTACTCCGTCCGGCTCAGATCGGATCAATGGCTCTTGCATGCTTGTTGAGACAGCCTCTTGCAGAAATTCAGGGGTTTTGGGCGATGGGATGGTTTCTTCAATACTGCAATTCATGAATGACAAAAATTTCAAGCAAAACAGTGCAGCAAACGCTAGGCTGTGATGTATTGAGTGTCAATGTAGATATACAATTAATAACCTGCCTTGCTCCTGCCCCTACAATAGAAGTTCTTGCAGCAAACCACGGAAGATGAAACTTTGAAAGTGTTGAAGCAGGATGGAGAAGTCCAAGAAGGCTTCCACCCCCATTTCGTCCACAGCCGTCAAGTCGTCAGTTGATCTAACCATTGCTTGGCCACCGCCACGCAACCCAGCCTCTTCGTCTCCACCTCCGAGACCGCTTACATCAGCAATTTATTGATCAGCGATCCAATCAGCTGCGTGAAGCTCCTTTTGCGACTGCGGCCTATCAACTCCGTTTTCACACCATCTTACTTTCAGCGATGGAAATGGAGCATAGGCAAAAGGCGAACGATCAATAAAAACAACCAGAGCTAGCAGTATAACTCTGCACAACGCCGAACAAAGTCCTTTCGAACCGAAATCTGTACCTAAAAGCGAATCACCCCCGCGACATTCTCTCTTACCCGCCGCGCCCAAAGTGCCCAAAACCCTTGTCCGCCCCCCGCAATGTCCACCACCAAAGCAGCACAACAATCCAAAGGCTCCAACCTATCTCCTTCAAGATCATACAGTAGCGCAATAGAGCTTAGTAAAGTTCCCGCGCCAACCACTCCAACACCCGCACCCAAGCAGACGGGCGGTGCCGGTGCGAAACGGGTTGAGAATGATTATGATAAGCAGGTGGGAAAACCACGTTCTGAACTGCCGAGATTTGAACGTTTGCTGTTCAGCATAAGTAATTTTCATCCCACAGCTGAGAGCCGGCCTAGACCTAATACACGAAGCGTACGAACGCCGAACGTCACAATTGAACGGAGAAGTAACACAATGGAAGCAAGTCGCGGCGAATCAACGACAGCAGGTATGGAACCGTTCTTACCCATTTCCCAATACCATTCTTCGTGGAAGCACGCATAACATACCCTGCAGATTGCAAAACTAGAGTCGGACATCGAGAGGCTAAAAAGTCGAGGAGCGGATTTGGAGCGAGCGCTTGCGACCCAACTCACTGAAAAGAAGGTCGTCATTGCGTCTCGGAATGCGTTGCTGGATAGATACAATGCACTCAGGAAGAACGCTACGCAGTTGGAGTCTTTCCGGAAGGTGTGTGTTCTGAGGATGTTATATGACTGCTGGGACAATTTCCGTGGGACGCTCTCCCAGTTCTTTTAAATGCGAACCATGATAAAGAGTATGGTTAAATACAAAGCGCATGACGGGCATGCTCCGAGAAGCATGCGGCCGCATAGGCTAAAGTATCAGGCGAATTCTGGATCAAGATGCGTCTCAGAAAGCTAATTTGCCAAGTTCTATCTCCATAGTCAATCGTCACAATGGTGGAGCACGTCCCTTCCGGAAACGTGCCAGAGCTGGAGCGATCTTTCGTGGACGGAAATACAACCTTGGACCAGCAGAGTGCTCTGTTGTCTGGGGCGTATGGAGGCGGTATAGTACCTTCCGCAAGCTTTCGAGGAGTTCAGGAAGTGATTGACGGCCATGACGGTGGAAATGATTATGCGGGTCGTGGGAATGAATCGTTTTTGGATGCTAGGACGTTGCAGTCTTTTGATCTGGTAGGGCGCATCATAAAATGATGCGGCAAGATTGTGCATCTCAATCTCACATGACCCCAATCACTTCAATGCAGGGCGGGCAAACATTGGACTATTCGCTGTTTTTGTCGGACAAAGATCGAT